ACCAGACTCTTTGTTGTTTTTATACACACACAATAGGTAAGTATTTCAAGTTGCACTAAAAATAACAACTAACACTTATTCCAACAATGAAAGAAAGTCTATTAACAAAATTGGGTTTTTATAATATTTATCACTGCTGCCAAGGGCACAATAATTGAAGTTTGGATTTCATGCTCTTGTGACAATGAATGAACTTATGTGAAACAAATAACTATGACTGATTAAACCCAGGAGTATTCAACTGTTTTCTTTTTGGATCTTACAGGTAGCCAAGTACTGGTGCTGCTCTTCACTACTCATCTGAAGAGTGATTCATACTAAATTTATGTGTAACAGATTTCTTTTCTCTTTTTTCCACCCCATATACATCAGGAGTCTCCGAAGAATCTCAATTATATTAATATTTATATGATTATATTACAACAGGTCTGTGATAAAATATACAGGAAGCTTGTTATAAAATGACATGGGGTATGTCTACATAGTTGCCAACCCTCCAGGATTGTCCTGGAGTCTTTAATTAAAGATAATGTCATGTGATGAAACATCCAGGAATTCATCCAACCAAAGCTGGCAACCCTACCAGAGAGAGGGCCACCCATCCCAGGTAAACAGACCTGCACTAGCAGGGCTGACGCTAGTGTGCTAAAAATAGCACTGTGGACATCCCAGCTTGGGCTAGAGCTCAAGGGTCTCGAGCCCTCGGGGGGTCAGGTAGAATTGAGAGCTGGAGCCACAAAATCCACTCTGCTATTTTTAGCCCGCTAACTTGAGCCCTGCTAGTGCAAGTCTGTCTAGGCAGGGTGGGAGGCTTGCTCCCAGCTGCAGTGTATACACTCCCATGGGGTTTTGCAAGGGTTTGGTAGAATAGTTGGTAATCTGTTAGATCGAATAGTTACATAGGATCCTTTTACTGGCAATAAACAAATACATTCTTCCCTCTCCAACTGTTCCTATGTTTCCTTCACTGGGTTGTTTTAACACAAGAAAATATTGATTCTCATGTTCTATTATAATTCATCCTGATAGGCATTTTATCCATTTTCTTAAAACTAAGACCTTTCGTTAACAGAGTTATTTTAAAATACAGAATCATTTTCTCTTTTGAAATTTGGATTGTTTGTGCGCCACCTGAGTGGTACCAAGGAGCAAGACCCTGCCCTTAACTGTCTAAAAATGTCCTGCATGCAGAACAAGTTCCTGTACTCCACATCATTTTAAGAGATGTGTTTGGGGCAAAAGTCCTCTCCACAGCACTAATCTTCAACTGGCATATGATTGATTGGTACCAGATGCCACTGGTATTAAGTTACAGCAGTCTAGGAGATACTCTATCTCACATGAGAGCCAGCACAGATTGCCCACAGGATCAGAGAGTCATAATCAGCATAAAGCATATGTTTGGAGAGGAAGAAGGGACCTATGCTCCACTCCGCTAATCCTCATTGTACCCTCTCACTCACCCAAAGCCACATCTTTCCACTCAATTAGAATAATAAATTATTATTAAGCCCCAACCATGTGTTCTACGCTACAGATGACATGAATATAGAGACAGTCACTGCCCCAAAGAGTTTTTGATTTAAAAGACTATCATGGGAGAGGGAGTTAACACTGGATGATCACAAGTAGGAGTTAAATTAAGTCAGAGCAGAATGTTGCTTTTGCATTGAAAGTCTGTGGGTGTTTCTCCATCATTTAATGGCATCAAGGATGAGTTAACTTAATTTTTAGGAGCAGTCTTTTTTGGAGTGATGGTGGGTTTTGTTTTGTTTTTTTAAATAATGACTTTTATGGGAAATTTCTCCAATCCTGCAGCTGCTGCGACTGCCATTGTAAAAATTATTCTTACCAGAAAAGATAAAATGTGCTACTTAGATGCTTGTGTTAACTCCCCTCTTTCAATCAGCTGATGGGCATTAAAGTCAGTGGAGTTATGCCAATTTATCCCAGTTTAGGATTCAGGGTATATAAGGATATCCATGTGATACAATAACGATCCAAGGTTCTGTGGTGTAAGAAGTGCCAACAATGATTACGTTACTTTACATTTGAGACAAATATAATCAACGAAAGAATAATTGACTAGTTTGAGTCTTTATTGACAGCACAATACTCTAGAGATTATAAAAGAACAATACTATGAATAATGCAGGAAATAAATTTATACAATCCCTATTCAAAATGCAATGGACAACTAGAGTTGAAGATTGTTTAGTCAGCATATTTTTGTAGAGACAGCAAATACAAAAAAATCAAAACATATAACTCTGGATTTTTTGTTTTTTATTAGCAAAGGAAATCACAGTATCTCCATAGTACCGGAATGCAATTTAGTTATTATGGCACTATTATTCTTTATCGGTCTATTTGAAGGATTATCTAACTTCCCCATAAGTGTCTTGCTCCTTCTAAAAATAGCCATTAAATTGTTTCCTCTAAAGATGTTCTTAATTTGCTGACAGAAATGGTGGACGTAAAACCAAGTTTAACTATGTAAAGTGTGTTTATGGTTTCAATTTTTCTCCATTTAACCTCTTTAAAAAAAAGACAAAGAATTAGCCAAGATATGCTTAGTGTAAGTGCTATCCCTAAGGCATAAGAACTGCTCTCCCTTTGCATCCCGTGGAGTGCATGACACTCCAAAAGGGAAAAGAAGAAAGTAGGAGCACCGCTTTACACCCAACAGAGCAAATTGGGTGCACAAGGGAGAGTAAGCTGCACCCTCTGATGTGTTACTTCCACTGTACATCTGGAACAGATCAGATCCGCAATGCCCCCAATGGAGGCCTGTGCATGAAAAGGTGTAATTGAGTCCTGCACAGGTATGACACACATTAGACACATACAAATAATTTAGTACACTAGGTACCCAGTACAGTTAGTATATTAGGTACCAGAATTTTAGATGTGTAATTTTAGTATATTGGTGTAAATGAGTACTTCGCTGCAGTAAACAATCACATCATATACTCTAGCAAGTACATGCTATGAGCTCAATTAAATCCTGACTCAGGCAAAATTCCCACGTAGAGTAACATGAATTCCGCCAGAATGAGACTAGATTTGGGCAATATTAGTTAATTTACAGATTACTACTGGTATCTTTTCATCAAGGTAACACAACAACTCTCTCCCCGGCACTAAACTAACATTTGAATGTATGACCTTACAGTCAGTAGGTTACAATGCTAAAGACTGAAAAACCATGTTATTGCTATAGCAGAATTTCCCTCCTCCCCCTCAATTCACTATACTTAATTGACATTTTACTAGATAGCAATTTAACTCTGAGCATTTGCGGCTATATTTAAGTCAGACTAAGTAAATTTTTGATGCAATTATACTGGTATGCAGCTACCTTATACCATTATAGCTTAATCCCCTTTTCTACAGGAATAAGATTTACCAGGCACTTTAGACAAATACAACTCCATTCACACTAGGAGTACTGAACAGCTTTAAATACACTGGTATATTTAAAGTGGTATAATTTGTGTGTGTAGACAGGCCTAAGACTTTAAAGGCACGCGCACACACACACACACTTTCTGACTTTAAGTTCTGCATTGCTTTGCAATAGTGTGTTTCATGTTGTTTTATGTAGTATACGAGAGAACTTTTTAAAAGTATGACTAAGCTTTCCTATCTTACCAGCTAAATTAAGTGTTACTATAAAAACAGAGTATTCATAGTGCAGTACAACCAAGGGGATGCTAATGCACGTCTAATATGGATGTTCAGTTGTGTGCTACAAGCAGTCTTCAAACAAGACCAAGGGGAAATAAGGAAAGACAATGGGGTTACGAGAATTTTTAAATCAAAGTCTTGTTATCAGTGTGGTCATTGTGAGGTACAGTCACGAATTGTAATATTTTAGGGCTACATTGTGCCTTTTGGCACAGCCCTATGCAGGGATGCTATGTAGGCTGTACTACTCCAGGAATAGCCCTGGGAGGCACTGTGGCTAAGACACACCTTTCAGAGGCACAACTCCCATTCATCCCAGGGAGGAAAGAGGTAGGAGTTTGCTGCTGTTGTAGGCCAGCAGCAAATGACAATAGCCCTGCACTGGCTCAACTGACAGCCAAGGCTCTGCCCACTCTGTGCCCCTTTCCACCAACCTGCTCCCAGGGTCTGGGGGAGGCTACCAAATGCACAGTAACTGTTTGCTCCTGTGCAGTCCCAAGGTAGCAAACAACAGGGATGTAGGAGAGGGGGTTACTCTCCCTTAATAACCATGGGCAGGTATGCAGTCAGAGTCACAACGTAGTCCTTAGAGAACTTGTATAAAAGTAACATGCTATCATCCATTAATGCACCAAAAGACAAAGGACTGGTACATGTTTCTGTGCGTTTTTTTTAAGAAGTGTCTTATAGGATATGGAATTCTAACTCAAGAGCTCTTACAGTCTGTGCAAATGTTTGATGAAGAGAACCACAGCTGAACAAACCAATATTTAAAATTCAATGGAGTATAGAAAATGCCAGAAGTTACTAATCATATAACAAATTGATATCCACTTCATCATGTTGATCTACACCTCCTTTCTTATCTCCAGGGGTTTTACTGATACCTGTGGTAGAAGTACACATTCCATTCATTATACAAATTATGTTATCACATACTTCACTTTAACTTACTGCTAAAGCACAAAGTTAAAAAACCTCACATCACACACCTCCATTGACAAACTTACTATAAACTCACAATAATGAATATTATTTTATCTTTACCAATAGATGTTGTCTTACCTTTATCAAGTTAACCTGAAATGTCCCTTTCTCCTATTCAGCTCCCAGGAACAAAAGAAATGAACTCCACCCTACGAACAAAGAAAAATTTAAAAGTGATTGGCAATGTGCTGAAAGTAGTTTAATTATATTACTACCATTAAAAAAAGACTCTGTACCAGGGTGTCAAGGGTATGGCCCACTGACCAGATGCGGCCTACAGGACAGTTTCATCTGGATTCCCATGAATCTTTGGGCTTATCTGCACAACTCTGGAGTCTGCACTACAGGTGTGTTGGGTTCTAGCTCCCCTGCTAGCCTGCATTGATGTAGCCTCAACAAGTTTGAAACAAGACTACATCTTTGTGCTCTAAGGAACATTTAATGTATGCCAGCAGGGGAATAAGGGGGAGTCCACACTGGAACACTACAAATTGCAAGGTATGTCATCAGGCCCACCATATGAAAATTATTTGACACCCTCCCACCACCATCCTGTACTGTCTTCTTGTAGACATGTAAAACTATAACGTCACCTGCAGGAGAATCTAAGGACTATGCATGGCTAGCTACAGTAGAACTTCAGAGTTACGAAAACCAGAGTTACGAATTGACCAGTCAACCACACACCTCATTTGGAACCGGAAGTATACCATCAGGCAGCAGGAGAGAGGGGGAAAGAAAGCAAATACAGTACAGTACTGTGTTAAACATAAACTACTAAAAAAGTAAAGGGAAAGTAGCATTTTTCTTCTGCATAATAAAGTTTCAAAGTATTAAGTCAATGTTCAGTTGTAAACTTATGAAAGAACAACCATAACGTTTTGTTCAGAGTTACAAACATTTCAGATATCAGAGGGGTAGCTGATAACACGGGTAGCCGTGTTAGTCTGGATGAAGTGGGCATTCACCCACGAAAGCTTATGCTCCAATACATCTGTTAGTCTTAAAGGTGCCACGGGACTCTCTGTTGCTTTTTACAAACATTTCAGCGTTACAAACAAACTCCATTCCCGAAGTGTTAGTAACTCTGAGGTTCTACTGTAAATAGTCATTACAGTATTTCAAATGTGACACTTGAGGACTAGTGTTTGATAAAATGAAGCACATGGATGGCAAAATATTTAGCAATACTCTATCAATTATGGGTGGAAAAGATTTACATTTTGCAATTTATGCTTATCATCTCATCTTCCAAGAGAACTTGGCAGAATGCATGCATTGCAATTCATCCAGTATTCTCTGAATGGATGAGTGTTACCTTCATGCCTCAGCCCCCACAGGTCCAGAGTAAACCAGCATATATGCCATTAAATTAATCTCTATAGCACTGATAATTCACAAGGTTTACAAATCAAAGCCTTATCCGGCTCCCATGATGGCAGAACCGCACAGACCTGACAGGGAGCTGGATCAGAAATGTATAGCAGCACAGGTCGTTGGTCCCAAACAGCTGTTTGGTCATTATGTGCACACTTCTTCAAATACAATTTGGTTCAAAATCTGTCTAGAGGGATACATACTACTTCCTCTCCAACTAATCACCAATAAAACAGAGGTTGCTTCAAGACAATAGCCTCACAAGAGAATTATGACAGAACATTACCAGTGCTTAATTTGTAATGGAAGAGGTGCCAGGGCTCACGCAGTTGTTGTTTTTTTTACTTTCATAACTGACACAGCAAGCCCAGAGGTGATGGGGCTATGAACTGCCAAGTTGAGAGGTGCCGAGGCTTAGCCCTGGCAAACCCTGGCACAAATTAAGCACTGATTATTACTAGAACTACTGTTGGCATTAGGGTAGAGCCAAGAGGCTCTAATCAGATCATGGCTCCAAACACATAGTACATTGTATGAGGCAGTTAGTGCCCCCAAGAACGTACAAAGCACAAGGCAGTTAGTGCAACAAAGAGCATACAGTTTACATTAAGATTGGATGTGACATGGAAGTGTAACGAAATGGAGGGAGTTGCAGAAGGTAGCCAAAGGTAACAATGTAGTTGCAGAAGCTCACTAAATCCAATTTAAAAAGAAATGCAATGTAAATAAAACAGGAGATATTAATATCAATAGTCCCTGCTGGCTACCAGCCTAGCCATTATCAGTTAGCAGTTTACCACAGGCCTCCTGACAGAAGTAGGTCTTGAGAAAGGATCTGAAGAAGGATAGAGAAGTGGCTTTACAGATGCATTTGTGGACTAGTTGCCCCTTGTGTGTGGAGTCGTGAAAGAAAATGTGCAGTGGGGAAAATGAACAAATAAGCAATTTAGAGTAGCATCATTGGTGAAGTTGAGTCAATGGCAAGACTAAAAAGGGGACGACATAGTCAGAGCCACAGGCCAGAAATATTTTAGTAGCAGCATTTTGAGAACGCACCTGAAATTGGTAACGTGGATGTGAGGAAGGTCAAAACGGAGAAGAAATTTCTGCAAAAGAAAAAGAAAAAGGCAACATCTCAAAAATGTTACAGAGAAAGCAGAAGCAAGATCTGGATATGGCTTTGGATGCATGGGCTAAAGTGAGGAAAAACTTGAAGAGAATACCCAGGTTTACAGGCCTGAATGGATGATAACATTGTCAATAGTAACAGAGAGAAGGGATAGGGAGAACAGGACAAAGAGGTCAGTTTTGGCCCTGCTAAATGTACGTTTCTGCAAGGGATATCAGAAGCAGGATGAGTTGCAGGCGTGAATGGAGGGAGTCGGACCAGGAGAGGAGACACAGATTTGAGAGGCATCAACACAAAGGCGTGTGAGCAATGAGATCACCTAAAGAAATACAGCAGAGAGATAGTAGGATGGAGCCCTGCAGGTGCCACAAAGAAAGTGAAAGAGGGGAGGAGGATTCACTAAACAGAATTCTGAACAACAGTCACCGAGTAGGAAGGAAACAAGGAAAAGAGGGACGCAAGAAAGTCAGAGAATAATATTTTAAGAATGAGGGGGAAAGTCAACAGTATCAAAAGCTGCAGAGAGATCAAGGAAGATAAGAATGGAGAAGTGCCCTGAGAATGGATTAGAAGTCTGTAAAAAGGCTACTGGAGACCTCAGCAAGAGCAGTGTCAGATGACTGGAGAGAAAGTGAGTGAAAAACAGTTTGAAGAGCATCAAGGACAAAGTTGGAGAAGGATGGATCAGTCAATGAGTTTATAAATGATAGGAGGGAGATGGAGTGGTAATTTCAGTGGGAGGGCAGGATGACGGGAGGAGGGATTTTGGATGGAGAAACCAAAGCATGCTTGTATTCTGAGAAGAAGCATCTTGATGAGAGAATGAGGGTACAGAGGAAAGGGAAGTAGAACATGGCAGAAAGAGAGGTCATAAGGGGCAGTAAAACCAAAGCTTTTACTTCTTTTGATTCTTATAACTATTTCCTGAACCACTACAGTATTGCTTTAGAGGCTGACATCACTCATTTAGCCTCTCTAAACCCTTTCACAATACCCACTGCTTATCTTATCTGAAGTAGTGCTATACATATCAACACACATTCAAAGCCTGGGGATTGGTTCTCCCTCATTTCCGCCCCAAACATCAACCAAATATTTATCATTTCCTTCATAGTATTGAAACAGCCAGCGCTACCACAAAGGACATGGAAAGAAGTGGCTTTCTGATAATCACTTGATTCAAACAGCATGTCCTTGGTTTTAAAACTGCATGTTTTGAAGTCTGAGTTTATCAGTTGGGCACCCAGCAGCTGTTCTATTACATTGTTCAGAAGAAGAAATTAACTTTGTCAGAGTTGGGGGCTGGGAGAGCAAAGGATAAAAATCTAGCTAACATCTATGGTTATAAAATATCTGACACCATCATCTTTATACAGAACTTCTGAAGTGTTGCAACTGGTTTATAGCCAATACAGCTAATCCACAGTGCCCCATGACTGGTTTCCATACCCTGCCATCTGAAAATTAAATGAAAAACCCTTCTTTTCATTAAGTGTAAAGAATAAACTGCTGAAATTAGTTTGAAAAGTTTTTTTTTTAATTAATACAGTCACCCACTGATGGCAAGTGTATCTTGCTAGAAAGTGACTTCATTTTGTGATTGTAGCAGTCTAGTAGGCCTGTATTTGAGGCTGAAAAATAGCTTCCAGCCTCTGTTAACAATCAGAAGAATAACTAATGACCTACATTTTCAAAAGTTACTAGAAGTTTTGAGTGCCTTGATGTTGGGGTGTTGAACCTAACTAAAGGGCCTGATTTTCAGAGTAGGTGTTCAATACTTTCGGGGAGTGAGGGGGGGGGACAAAAAAAAACAACCCAAGATTTTTAGATGCTTCAATTTGGGCACCAACATCCCTAGCCCCTTATGAAAATTTAGGCCTAATGTGCTGAAACATCTAGGTTTATTATTATTAAACTGCCACTGCTTTTACAGTTGTATTTACATTTAGTCACTCTGTGAATATTTTACATCCTAAGTGTGTGAGCTGGCTTTAAAACAAATTTGTCACACAGACCTTAAAAAGGAACCTTCAGCAGCACCAACAAAGCCTTCTATGCTGGAAAAGCTCCATTAAACTCTCCTTTGCAGCTTCTCACAAACTCTCTCCCAGTGTCACTTAGTCTCCCCCAATACTAAGCTTGAAAAGCCATGTGTATCTTGCAGCATGATCTAAACACTGTCAAATCCAGGCTCTGGTGAACCAAGGCATGAAATGAATTCCCTACCTTCTTGAGAACACTTGGCTGAGTCCCCATGATTATACCAAGGTCCACTCACCCAATCATCTCAACAGAGAGGATCCAATTCATTTAGGGCTATGACCCTATGATTTACAAGTTAAGAAAAAGGTAAATGAAGGTACAACACCTTTAGGACAGAACAATACTTTGTAAGAGTATAATAAAAACAAGATATGGTAGATTAGAGTTTTCAGTTTGTAGAGGAAACTACTGCTCTTGGGGCTGAATAGTAACCTCCAGTGCACAGTAAAGACCTCAACTCCAATCAGTATAATATGCATGCCCTGGGGCAAACATACCTTTTAATGGGAAACTTGCAATACTATGGGGTAGAGGAACAGCAGGACTCCCAAAAATCCCATGAGAGATCCAACGCAGTTACTGCTGCATTCTGACCTCAGC